TCTTAAATGACTTTAATGCCTGGATTTGATTTGACCATGAAATCTAAGTGGAAAATGGGAAGACGAATGCCAACAGCATCCTACTTGTGACCATTTGTACTCAATATAGGCGCGATCATGATGAACATGGTCTTTTGCCAGAAGAACCAACTTAAGAACAGTGAAGACACCTGAGGTCCAGACATTGGCACCTCCTTTCCTAGGCAGAGACCTGAGGTATATCCTTATCATGAGGACTATGAAAAGTTCTGAATATTGCTGGACAGATAACCACTTGTGAGCTTAGTGACATAGATCCACCTGGTGTCAAGATACAAGAAGACCCAGAAACTTACCAGAGGAAGCTAAATGTCACTCTTGAAGGATTCAGAGCAGCAGAAAGAATTCCAGGTCCAGTTGTGAAATACACCAGAACAAGTGCCCATTACGGGTGCCAGCTACATTCAGGCATACTAGGAACAACTCAAGTTGACCATCCTAGACACTTGAGTACAGGTGTTTGCTTCATGGCAGGACAAGTTTAAAGTCAATGACATGCAGATCCATGATCTCCTCGAGTGAAAGTTAGAAGCCTTTGTCACCAGGCAAAGCCACCACATTCCTGCAGAATGACAGTAGTTTTTCACAAAGTCATAGTAAGATTGTTGAAAGCTTCTAGCAAAGTGCCTACATTGAAACTTGGAGATCAAATGAAAGGACCACTGGACCAATGTGAGTATCCTGTGTAGAACACTGTCTTCCTGTATTGAAGCCCTGTTCCTGAATAACCAACTCCAATGATGGGCCATTGTGTCTGGATACCCAAACAACCACAGCCCTTGGCACGTTCTCCTGCCAGCTTCCCATTGGCCAAATCTCAAAGGGCGACCAAAGCAAAAAAAAGTGAAAGAATAAGCTCAAGGTCACCTAAAACACATGCTGACTTGGAAGAAAATATTGCTGCCCACTAGATGGCACCTTCTGTTTCATCAAGGCACGAGATACTTCCAGGCCCAGTGACTTGACCATAATATGGAATGATGGCGGCAGAAGAAGTAATCCACCCAGGGGGGTGCAATTTCTACTTCTCCATGTAACAACATGCCCCCACTGTGGTAAATCTTGTGGTCCCAAAATATCATGTAGCTTGGCAGATATCACCATCAATTCTAAGGGATCACCAACAGTGACCTTGGGAGAGTCAGCTGTGGAGGCTAACCCTGTTGCCCTCTGTCTGAAGTACTGCATGGTTTCAAAATGGATTAACTCAGCCACCCTGGTTAAAGGTCATTTACACAATATGGGTAATGTGTGCTGCACACTGTGAAGTGACAGCTAATTTGGCTGCAGAACTTGGAATGAACCTTTAGCAAAATCATTAAAGGCCATGGTGAGCTTCAATGCGATTAACAGTGTATGTCCCCTGTGCCGCATTGGCTGTAGGTCTTGAAAATAGATGCAGAACACAGTGACAAATTCTTGGATAATCACAGTCTCCTGCATCATCTTGCACTTATGTCAAAGTAACTGACCCTGTACCAACCCTTTTTGGTTTGTACTGTCGCAGTCTTCAACACCTCCGCCTTGCAGGCACTCAGCATCCATGGACCCATCCTCATTCTGTGCAAAGCACGTCATTCTGCTGCTGCTGCTGCAGCTGCATTGGTTCCTATGAGTATTGGAGGTGGCTGGATATGTGCACCCACAATCTGTTTGACAATTTCGCAGAGAATTGCTGACTGTTATACGTTGATGCTGCAGTGAAGCCTTGCCAGTTAGTAAATATTTGGCCAGGCTGGGTGTGGCATATAGAGATTCCTCAGTGCACTCCTTGGAAGAGAATTGCTTAGTTATAGGCAATAACTGACTTTTTAAAAATGAAAAGCAAGTTTACAAGAAGTTGCTGCACATCTTCCCTAAACTCTTCCTGACCTCCTAGAGTAGTCATAATTGTATAGAGGAACTGTTCACAGAATCATAGAATCCCTACAATGTGGAAACAGGCCCTTCGGCCCAACAAGTCCACACCGACCTTGAGAGCAGCCCCCCAGACCCATCCCCCTAATCTACACATCCCTGAACACTACAGGCAATTTAGCATGGCCAATCCACCTAACCTGCACATCTTTGGACTGTGGGAGGAAATCGGAGCACCCAGAGGAAACCCATGCAGACACGGGGAGAATGTGCAAACTCCACACAGACAGTCACACAAGGGTTGAATCAAACCCAGGTCCCTGGTGCTGTGAGGCAGCAGTGCTAACCACTGAACAAACACACTAAAGCAGTCAAAAATAGCATGCTACAGGAAATATGAAATTGCTGCACGTTTTAATATAGTTTCCCTAATGTCACTGGATATGTGTGTGGGGTTACAACCCAAAGTCTACCCAATCTGAAAGGGCACACAAAACTAGGGCAGGTTTTGGAAATGACTGAGTTTTGAATTTGTTCAAAAAATTCAACGTTTTTGACTTTACTGTCTCTATCAACTGACAAAATTCTGACCCAGAGACTGTCAGCTGCAGCAAATAATTTTTGGATCAGCAGTCACAGAGATGGCTTGTAGAGTGAATTTCAGACTGGGAAACAAAATTGTCTGGGGCAGGACAGAAAACGAAAGATTGTAGATTGATAAATACAATTGAAAAGTAGAAAATTGGGGTGATTTTCAGACTGGGAGACAAAGTCACGGGGCAGGACATGAAAAAGACAAAGCCTGATTAATATAGTTGAAATGTAGAAAATCAGAACATTTTTAAGAAGCTATCTTTTTTGAAATACTAGTGTTCTATAGTGCCATGTGAATAGTATAATCAGTATTGGGATTTGAATGGTCTAAACCGTCACATGGCTAGATTGAACTAACAGCAGTGCTTCCAAATATTATCCAGTGTGGCCCTATTTTAATGACTCAGACTTTGTGTCACCCAGTAGAAACTTAGGGCATATAAGAGTTGTTGAGGTAGGGTAGAGGCAGGCAAGCCTTCAGTTATTGATTAGCCGATTGGCAGATATAGTTCTTGAGTGGAAGTGGGGGCAAAGTTCAGTTTTGTGATAACCAATCCCCAAAGATCACAATATAATTACAATTTCAAATGGGACATCCCCAAATGGTTATGTTCCTAGATGAGGGTTGAATTGATTTCCCATCAACCCCTGCCTCATTTGGCTACAATAAACTTAATTTATAAAGAATCCCTAATCTTGTGGATATTTTTTCCTAATCCAAATGTAACTGCTCTTAAAGGGGCCAATTTAACCAGGCTTTTTGAGTTAAAGAATAAATGAGTTTGTTAGCTAACAAAATGTAAGAAAAGTTAATAAAACATGACAGACATATGTTTATGTCACTCTGTTTCTGCAACTCTGTTTCTCATCCTCTGTTTCTGCCACACTGCATCTCATTCTGTGTTTCTCATCCCCTTTCTGTCACTCTGTTTCTACTCTTCTGATTGAGAGATGTTTCCAAAAATTAAAAGTAAATAAAAATATATGTGAATCAATCTTTTTCATTTCTGTAACAAATAGATTGTGAAACATTACTCCTGTTAAATTGGGTGATTCCAGAGGTGTCAGTTGAGTAATTTGGAGATTCCTGATTCTGGAGTTACTTAAAAAGAGTTTGTCCAGTCTCCTTCAACAGTGACTTTGCTGACAACCTGTTTTCAGCAAATGTAGAGAGGCTTTACTTCTTTTTACCTGCACATGCAGGGCTTACCTAGAGGACATTCTCAACTGCATCCCTTCATTGCATACTTTAGCAAGTATGGCTCAAACCACAAGTTAGTATATTAGTATGTCAGCACTCTCACATACCAGTGCAAAAGGGATAACAGTTGTTTTATTAGCCCCTTCCTTGTGTATTCCTGGAACAGTGAAGCACAACTTGTCTTATGTCCAGAGCTGTCTTTCTTTCAACTCATATCATGTTCATAGTCTGGGATACAAGCCATAAAACATCTCTGTTCAGTTTCTTTAATGTCATCTTTCCGTTTGAAGTATTGCTTTCTGAAGTTGCATTTACACTTTTCAAGTGTCTCTTGGCACTCAGTGTCATCCCCATATGGACTTTAGACAGCCACTGAATTTATATCCTCAGCCATCTTGTGGCTTTTTGTCTTCTTATATTTAAAAATGTTGTAAAGTTCAACATCTGGAAGTAATTCAAGGTTATGATCTGTTGTCATGGCATCTGCTGAGTGAGGATGATGGGAAAGGATCGGTTATTTAATGGGCTGTGCAGGTTCATTCATTGAATGGAGAGATGGTTCGGCTGTCGAGGGGTGAGGCAGCTTAGTTGCTCAGTACGGGGACAGCTTCAAATGTTAATGGGTGTGCATCTTCATGTTGAACAGGGTGCAGTGCACCGTTGTTGAGCAAGGATTGGTTTCATGTTGAGCAGAGGAAGTTTTCTTTGTCTAGTAGATACTAAGGAGCTGGCTTTATTTTGAGGGAGGGCAGCATTTTTGTTTTTCACCCAGGGCTTGAGGAAACAGGAGTTGAACATGGGCAAAGTTACTGGAAAAGTAGACTTCCTCCAAAAAACACTACCTACTTATTCACAGTATTCTCCAGCATAAGCAGTTCCTACTACCTCTCTACTTATTCACAGGTTTTTTTTGGCAGAAGCAATCACACCTCAGAGAAGAGTCTATTTGGCTGCACCCACTAACAGAAAAACAATGCACTTACTTAAAAGGGGTCTCCCAGCTGTCAGAAATCAATCAGAGCTGCAAGGTGGCCATTACTGACTCGGAGCTTGCAACTTCAAAATGTTGCCTCATTCATGACCAACAGTTTGGAAAAGTCTGAATTATAGTGTTAAGCACATTACCAAACAGTTAAAACAAAGTGGGACGTATTTCTTCTGGTTTTTATTTTGAAAGGATAGATAGTAATATTTTCGATTTTAATACTTATAGATGAAATAGTAGAGAAATGTAATTAAATTCTCACCTTAATCATTAATCTCTATCTGTTTTTATTGAAGTTAACTTTAAGTGCTTTCTTACCATTAGGTGAAGCAAGTGATTACTTCCGTGAGATTGGAGGCGTACAGTTTGTTAATGGACTTATAAAACTGAGTGATGCTCCTATCCTTCGGGAGGCAGCCTTGTTCACTTTAGGAGCTTTAGCTGAAAGCAGTGGTAGGAATTCCTTATGCAGTTATATTTACCTTTCTCAAAACTTCCCAACTCACTGTTTGCCAATCACTGTTTCAAAATAAGAAGTTGCCCATTTGAAATGGAGATAAGGAGAATATTTTTCTCATAGAGGGACACCAGTCATTGGAACTCTCACCCTTAAAAGGCAATGAAAGCAAAGTTCTTTAATGTTTTTAAGCAGAGGTAGATAGTGGCAGCACTACCGTATTCTTAAGGAAACATAGGGCTGAGCAGCAACGCTCATAGTCCATGAATCCTTCACCTTCACAATCTCTCCCCTCACTGAGACGTGGTGACCCTCAGGTTAAACCACCACCAGTAATCTCTCTCTTAACAAGAGAGCAGTCCTATGGTCCAGTAGGACTAAGGCGATTTTACCTACTTTACATTCAAATATCTGAAGCTTGATTTCTCAAGTCTGCAAAGTTAACTAGTCTCAGGACGCGTACCCTGAGGTTATAGGGCAATTTGCTGAAAGAAGCAGCCAAGCTTCAAAATCCTGATACAGTAACCAGTGCCTCCTGTTGGAAAGTGTATGTATGAATATTGAATGAATACATGATGAGGCTTAACTATGTGTAACTGAAAAATCGTCATCCAGCACTCACTGTCTTTGCTCAGGTAAAAGAATTGATCATTTGCCTGAGGCTTTGAAAGGCAAACAGCAGCCATAATGCTTGAGAGCCAAGAGAAAATTGAGACGACCACAGTGGAAACTGGATTGTTTAGTGGTAGAACCATCAGCTCATTCAGATAATAATTATCAATCACTCCAACTTTTCCCAACAAACCTTTTGAAATCAGCTAGCTCTGCAATGAATTATTGTTCATTCTTCTTTAACGTTGCAAAGTATAAATCATTTTTCCTCTTATGTCTTTCCAGTGTACTGCCAACAGAGTTTGTGCACTGCAGAACTATTGTCTGATGTCGCCTTGTCACTTGCTCAGGAAGGTGCTTCGTTGATTCTGAAGAGGATGAATGTCTACATGATCCTGGTGTTGGTGTCACACAACAGTATGAAAGTCTTGTTTATATGTTGAAATTTTGTTAGTCTTCTCTGCTGGAGGATTAACATGTCCTCTTATTGCAAGTGTTTAAAAAGATTTACGTATCAAATAAGTAGAAAATATCATATAATTATTTAACCCTTATCCTGCTGATCACAAAGCAGTTCCTTGCAGTGTAGTTCATGAAACTCACTACAAATAAACGGGAGCAGAGTACAATTTTACATGGTTATGCATTGACTAACTGTTACATTATTGAATAAACAACAGCCTGATACATACCAGTGGCAAATAGTGTTACTGCGTTAAGTAGATAGCAATTCTGTATAGCTCACTGAGTAACCTTTGCCTTTTTGACAAACAGGAGCTCCATACAATTATGCTAAAAAAATCCCTCCTGAATACAGTGCCTAGTTCCACTAGAAATGCTCTCACATAAGACCAGCATCTTTAATAACCAGGAATACTTTTTTAGTCATTCTGTAGAATCTAAAAGTCAACCTGTGGAAAATCTGAAAAACTGGTTGAGACAGGGGCAAAACTGGCAGTTTAATGTTCTGGGGGTTTAGATGTTTCAGACGTGAAAAAGAGAGATGTAAGAGAGTTGGGGGAGTTGTGTTACTGATTAGGGAAAATATCACAGCAGTCCTGAGGGAGGATACCTTGGAAGATTCATCTGGTAAGGCCATATTGGTGAAGCTCAGGAATAGAAAGGGATCAATCACTTTGATGGGATTGTATGACAGGCCTCCCAACAGTCAGCGGGTGATAGAGGAACAGATCTGTGGACAGATTATGGAAAATTGTAAAAACAACAGGATTGTTGTGATGGGTGATTTTAACTTCACCCATATTGACTGGGACTCACTTAGTGCCAGGGTTTTGGATGGGGGGGGAGTTTGTTCAGTGTGTCCAGGACAGTTTTTTGAAACAATATGTAAATAGTCTAATCAGGGAAAGTGCCAGACTAGACGTTGAATTAGGGAGTGAGCCTGGCCAAGTGATCGATGTTTCAGTGGGAGAGCATTTTGGGAACAGTGACCATAACTCTATAAGTTTTAAGTTACTTGTGGAGTAGTCCTCAGGTGAAAGTAATAAATTGGGGAAAGGCTAACTACCACAATAATAGGTAGGAACTGGAGGTCGTAGACTGGGGCAGCTGTTTGAGAGTAACTCCCACATCTAGTACGTGGTAATCTTTTAAAGGTCAATTGATTAGAGTTCAGGAGCACTATGTCCCTGTGAAAATGAAGGATAAGGATGGCAAGATTCGGGAACCTTGGATGACAAGAAAAATTGAGTGCTTAGTCAAAAAGAAAAAAGGTGGCACATGTAAGCTTTAGGAAACTGAAGACAGACAGAGTCCTTGAAGAATACAGAGATTTTTTAAAAAATCATTCAGAGGGTGAGAGCATCACTGGACATAACAGGAAAGAATGGAAACAAACAATTAGGAGGGCTAAAAGGGGACATTATATGTCTTTGGCAGACAAGATTAAGGAAAATCCCAAAGTGGTTTATACATATTTAAGGAGCAAGAGGGTAGCTAGAGAAAGGGTAGGTCCACTCAATGACAAAGGAGGGAATTTATGCCTGGAGATTAGGGAAGTGGTGAGCTCCTTAATGAATACTTTGCATCGGTATTCACAAAAAGGAAGGATATGATGGAAGGTGAGTCTCAGGAGGGGTGTGTTGATATTCTGGGACCTGTCAATATTTAAAAAAAGGAGATGGTGTTGGGTGTTATAGAAAGCATTAAGGCGGACAAGTTCCCACAACCTGATGGGATCTCTCCCAGAATGGTGAGGGAGGCATCTGAGGAAATTGCTGGAGCCTTGAACGAAATCTTTGTCTCCTCTAGGCAGAGGAGAGGTCCCAGAGGACTGGAGAATAGCAATGTTGTTCCTTTGTTTAAGAAGGACAACAGGGATAATCAAGGTAATTACAGGTGAGCCTACGTCTGTTGTAGGGAAATTATTGGAGAAGGTTCTTAGGGATAGGACTTGCACACATTTGGAAAAATAATATTGACATATTAGCGATAGGCAGCATGGATATGTGCGGGAAAGGCCATGTCTCACAAACTTTATTGAGTTTTTTAAGGAGGTGACAAAGATGATTGATGTAAGCAGGGCGGTAGATGTTATCCAAATGGACTTTAGCAAGTCCTTTGACAAGCTTATACAGAAGGTGAAATCAGATGGGATCCGTGGTGAGCTGGTAAGATGTATACAGAACTGGCTTAATCATTGAAGACAGAGAGTAGCGATGGAAGGGTGTTTTCCTGATTGGAGATCTGTAACCAGTGGTGTTCCATAGGAATCAGTGCAGGGACCCTGTTGTTTTTTAATATAAGTAAATGATTTGGAGGAAAATGTAAATGCATGATTGGTAATTTTATGGACAACACAAAGATTGCGGGAGCTATGGATAATGGGGAGGATTCCCAGAGGATACAGCAGGATTTAGATAGGCTGGAGACTTGAGCAGAGAAGTGGCAGAAGTTGGAATATAATCTGGACAAATGTGAGGTGATGCATTTTGGAAGATCTAATGAAGGAGGGAAATATACAGTAAATGGCAGATTGTTAGTAGCATCAACATACAGAGGGATCCAGGTCCACGATTCCCTGAAAGTGGCAGCACAAGTGGATAAGCTGGTCAAGAAGGCATGTGGCACACTGGCCTTCATTGGTTGAGAAATAGGGTATAAAAATTGGCAAGTCATGTTGCACCTCTATTGAACTTTAATAAGGCCACATTGGGAATATTGTGAAACAATTGTCGTTGCCACACTATCAGAAGGATGTGGATGTTTTGGAGAAGGTACAGAAAAGCTTTGCTAGTTGTTGCCTGGTTTGGAGGTATTAGTTATGAGGAGAAATTGGACAAACTCACTTTGTTTTCACTTGAACATCGGAGGCTGAAGGGTGACCCGATGGAGGTTTACAAAATTATGAGAAGCATGGATTGGATAGATAGTCGGAGTCTTTTTCTCAGGTAGAAATGTCAATGACTAGGGTTTGAAGTAAAAGGAGGAAAGTTTGAAGGAGATGTATGAGGCAAGTTTTTTACACAGAGGGTGATTTGCGCCTGGAATGCACTGTCAGAGGGAGTTGTGGAGGCAGGTACAATAACAACATTTAGGAGGCACATGACAAATTAATGAATAGGCAGGGAAAAGATCGCATTGAGGCAAAAGGTTTTTAGTTTAGAAAGGCATCATTGGTGTGCCAAAGGGCTGTACTGTACTGTTCCTTGTTCTTTGAAATGAATATCACAGAATCCTGGAACCATACACCTAGTCAATCATCATGTGAAAAGAATAAAAGCAGATTAACATTTTGATTTGAGACCCTTCATATCCAGGGTTGACTTCATTCTAATCTTAACAGTTTATCTTCCACAAACTTTCAACTCATTTAAAGCTCCTCTGTTGACATTCTAGCCTATCCAAGGGCTTTGTAGAATATACAGCACAGAAACAGATCACTGGGTTCTGTTGGCATTATGCACTTTTCAAACCTTCTCCCATCTTTCCTCACCTAAATCTACTATTGTATTTCCTTGCTCCCTTCTCCCTTATACATTTGTATAATTTCCCCTTGAATACATCTATACTGTTCACACTGACTACCGACTGTAGTGACCAGTTCCTCTTTTGTGCCATTCTCTGAGTAAATAATTTCTCCTCAATGCTCTGTTTGGTTTTTGGTAACTACCTTATATTAATTAATTCCTCTAAAGACTCACTCCCCAGTCACTCCTAACTTCAGTTGTCGTATTTGGCTACAGTTTTTGTTCCCGACATGTTGATATCAGAATCCTCCTGGGAATTGGCTCGAAGCTGAATTATCACAAAGTCTCCTGTCTTTTGCTAGTTGAATTTATAAGATTCCTTTTGGTCCTTTATGTGTTTTAAGTGTGCCTGCAACTTTTTCACAGTGCAGGTCAATAGAAAATGAATACCTACATGCTGAGACCAAGAAGATTTTTGGTACAAAAGTGTCCTAGGAGATCATTAGTTGCTACTTTTCTGACTTTGAATTTTGTCATTGTGAAATTCAGATCAGTAGAATACCTCCAAGGATGTTACTGAAACGAGTTGTAATCTTGGTCGTGTGCGCAGCACTGCTTATAACCTCTGATGTGATCCATTTGGCACACCGCCTTGAGAAAGGTGCCTTCACAGGTGAACACTGGGAGCTCCATTAACAACTGAGTGTCCCAACATTGATTATACAGAGTCTAACTGGCTGATGCAACATGCACTTATTGTCTCAGAATTTTACGGTACGGAAAGAGATCCCTCAGCTCATCATGTCCACACTAATCATCAAGCACCTATCTACTTTAGTCTCATTTCCAGCATTTGTCCTGTAGCCTTGAATGCTGTGGCTCTTCCGATGATCATTTAAATGCTTTTTAAATGTTGTGATGATTCCTGCCTTTACCACCCTTTCAGGCAGTGAATTGCAGATACTCACCTCTATCCTCTTGCACTTTACCTTAAATCTATGCCTTAGATATTTATCCCACTACTAAGGTGAAAAGTTTCTTCCAATCTACCCTAGGTTCCTCATAATTTTGTATAATTTAATAATTTCCCCCCGCAGCCTTCTCTGCTCTAAGCAACACAAACCCAACCTATTTAGTCTCTCTTCAGAACTGAAACACTCCAGCCCAAGCAATATCCTGGTGAATTTCCTTGGCACCTCTCCAGTGCTAATCTTACAGCTGCGGCCTAATAATGTCTCCACTGTAACCTCCCCTCTCTTGTATTCAACATCTCATAGTATACAGTTGTACAGCACGGAAGCAGACCCTTCGGTCGAACTCGTCCATGCCGACCAGATATCCCAAATTAATCTAGTCCCATTTGCCAGCATTTGGCCCATGTCCCTCTAAATGCTTCCTGTTCATATATCCATCCAGATGCCGTTTAAATGTTGTTATTGGACCAGACTCCACCACTTCCTCTGGCAGCTTGTTCCATACATGCACCACCCTCTGCGAGAAAAAGTTGCCCCTTACGTCCCTTTTAAATCTTCCTCCTCTCATTTTAAACCTATGCCCTTTAGTTTTGGACTCACCCACCCCAAGTAACTTCACCCTATCCATGTCCCTCATGATTTTATAAACCTCCATAAGGTCACGCCTCAGCCTCTGATGCTCCAGGGAAAATAGCCCCAGCCTATTCAGCCTCTCTGTATAGCACAAGCCCTCCAACCCTGGCAACATCTTTGTAAATCTTTTCTGAACCCTTTCAAGTTTCACAACATCCTTCCAGAATTTCAGACATTATTGTAAAAATGGCCTAACCAATGTCCTGTACAGCCACAGCATGACCTCCCAACTCCTATACTCAATGCACTGACCAATAAAGGCAAGCATACCAAACGCCTTCTTCATAGAACATAGAACAGTACAGCACAGTACAGGCCCTTTGGCCCACGATGTTGTGCCGAACTTTTACCCTAATCCTAAGGTCTATCTAATCTCCACCCCTACCTTATACTATCATTCATATGCCTATCTAATAGCTGCTTAAATGCCCCTAATGAGGCCGACTCCACTCCCTCTCCGGCAATGCATTCCATGTCTCTACCACTCTCTGAGTAAAGAACCTACCTCTGACGTTTCCCCTATATCTACCTCCACTCACTTTAAAACTATGCCCCCTCGTAATAGCTACCTCCACCCTAGGAAAAAGTCTCTGGCTGTCTACTCTATCTATACCTCTGATCATTTTGTACACCTCTATCAAGTCACCTCTCATCCTTCATCGTTCTAAAGAGAAAAGCCCTAGCTCTCTCAACCTTTCCTCGTAAGACCTTCCCTCCATTCCAGGCAACATCCTGGTAAATCTCCTCTGCACCTTTTCCAATGCTTCCGCATCTTTCCTGTAATGAGGCAACCAGAACTGGACTCAATACTCCAGATGTGGCCGAACCAGGCTTTTCACTATCCTATCTAACTGCAACTCCACTTTCAAGAAACTATGAACTTGCACTCCAAGGTCTCTTTGTTAAGCAACACTGCCCAGGACCTTACCATTAAGTGTATAAATCCTGCCCTGATTTGCCTTTCCAAAATGCAGCACCTCATAATTATCTAAATTAAACTCCATCTGCCACTCCTGGGCCCACAGGCTCACCTGATCAAGTCCTGTTGTACTCTGAGGTAACCTTTTTCACTGTCCACTACACCTCCAATTTTGATATCATCTGCAAGCTTATTAATCCAACCTCCTATGTTCACATCCAAATCGTTTATATAAAATGATGAAAAGCAGTGGACCCAGCACCGATCCTTGTGGCACACTGCTAGTCATAGGTCTCCAGTCTGAAAAGCAACCCTCAACCACCACCCTCTGTCTTCTACCTTCGAGCCAGTCCTGTATCCAAATGGCTAGTTCTCCCTGTATTCCATGTGATCCAACCTTGCTAACCAGTCTAACATGCAGAACCTTGTTGAACACCTTTACTGAAGTTCATATAGATCACATTCACCATTCTGCCCTCATCAGTCCTCTTCATTACTTCTTCAGAAAGCTCAATCAAAAATTAGTGAGACATGATTTCCTACGCACAAAGCCATGTTGACTATCCCTAATCAGTCCTTGCCTTTCCAAATACATGTAAATTCTGTCCCTCAGGATTCCTCCAACAACTTGCCCACTACCAATGTCAGGGTCGCCGGTCTATAGTTCCATGGTTTTCCCTTACCACCTTTCTTAAATAGTGGCACCACGTTAGCCAACCTCCAGTCTCTGGCACCTCACCTGTGGCTATTGATGATGCAAATATCTCAGCAAGGGATCACTTCCCTAGCTTCCCACAGACTTCTAGGGTACACTTGATCCAGTCCTGGGGATTTATCCACCTTTATGCATCGTCAGACGTCCAGCACCTCCTCTTCTGTGATGTGGACATTTTTCAATATTTGGCTATTTATTTCCCCACGTTCTCTAGCTTCCATATCCTTCTCCACAGTAAACACTGATGCAAAATACTCATTTAATAGCTCCCCTCTCTCCTGTGGTTTGACACATAGGCAGCCTTGATGATCTTTAAGGGACTGTATTCTCTCCCTCGTTACCCTGTTGTCCTTAATGTATTTGTAGAATCCTTTTGGATTCTTCTTAACCCTATTTGCCAAAGTTATCTGATGTCCCTTTTTTGCCTTCCTGATTTCTAAAATAAGTGCACTCCTACTGCCTCTGTACTCCTCTAGGGATTCACTCGATCCCCAATTAATGAAGCTAAGTATTCCTTCTTAACCACCTGAGCCACTTGTCCAAAGGCAAAATATGGCAGATGCTGCAAATCTGAAACAAATATAGAGGATACTGGAGAAATTCAGCAGGTCTGGCAGCACCTGTGGAGAGAGAACCAGTTTTGCCTTTTAATTTAGCTACTAGCTGCTATGGATGAGACGTACACATCTGAATGTCTTATTTTAGTCCTACTTATGTCATTGATACATATGTGCACCATGACACCTCTTCCACTCCAAATTCCTCTTCAGCTCAAAGAAAATCACCTTAACACAGGCACACAGCACAGCCCTGGGAAAGTTGTACTGGCATTGGAGACAGTCCAGTGAAGGTTCAGTAGGTTGATCCCTGACATGGAGGAATATTCTTATGAGGAAAGGTTGAGTAAGGCACCTTAAAGTTTTGTAGTGAAAGGAGATCTTATTTTGTGTTTGCCAAGCCAGATGCCATTTATAATGCTGACATGGGGTGAACAATGTACAAAAAGAATCATCTCTCCAATACTGATGTCAGTTCAAATAATGCTTTTTGGGCATTTTTACAGAGATTGGACAAACATTGGCGAGGACAACTGGATGTATTGATGTTCTTCTGAATTTGTTCAGGTAGTAAGCAAATTCTGCACTTGACATTTTCTTCCTGTATTCACACAGGTAATAGTCTGAAATTTTTTGGGAATTTTTATACCATGAAAATAAACCTCTAAAAATTCATGGTTCTGATGCAAATTATCAAAGATTTTACATCCAATTAGTTGAAACACCAAGGTGGAGTTAAGTTAAAAACTCATAAAAAGGGAAATCAGCATGATCCTTTGAATGCAAAAAGTTAGTAGTGTTATGCAATAATGTAGAAGCAAACAGTATAAGTGGCTTCAGGAAGCAACTAGATATTTTTCAGGAGAATGAGGAACTTGGAAATTATACTGTGCAATAGTATGGTATGAAGACTTAAATGTTCACAACAATTTCCTTTGCTTTTAACAGAAGAGTTAACCAACGTAAGGTCAACAAGTAAGTTAGCAGATAGAATTTAGTGCAATCTGAGCCAGTCAGAAACTGTCTCACAATAACTTAGAGGGATCCCATCAACAAGCAGCAACATTATTTTTATGGAGCTGGTATTCTCCTTTCCTCTTTGTCTGAAAACACTGGAAGATACAGGGGTATGATTCCACAGCCAACAGTCTTCCTTTAGTATTTAGTGTTTTTGTACTTAGTTTTAGAGTTAGTTTTTATACGAGGGGAAACCTGGCAGTTTATCATAAGATCATAGTATCCTTCACAGAATGTTCAGCTATCCATACAATGGAAACTTTTTAACACAACGAAAGCAAAGGACGTCATTTGTAGCCATAATTGGTGCCCAAGTTGATGTCAGCTAATTTGGCCTATACTAGAAGTCAAACCGGTAAAGCTGTGGTCTACATGGCTTAGTACCACAAAGGCTGGGAATTTATGTGAAAAACTTTGATTGCTTTTTTAAATTAAATTTTAAGAAACTACCTATTTAAAATAAGCAAAGGTATAAAATGAAGTAATAAGTTTCTGAAGTTCTAATTTCACTTGGATTAAGTATAAAAACATCGGAAATGGGAGCAGGAATAGGCCATACAGCTCTGTGAGCTAAGTGCACAATTCATGGCTGATCTTGAACCTCAACTCTACTTTTTGTCCTTTCCTATATCCCTTGATTCTCTTACTATCCAGAGATATGTAGATCTCAGTCTCAGATGTATTCAGTGACTAAGCATCCACAGCCTCCTTTGGTACAAAATTCCTAAGCTTCACAACTCTGTGAGTGGAGGTGTTGCTCCTGAACTTGTTCTAAATAATGACTGCTGATCTTGAATCTATTGTAAATATTTAATTGTGCAGATGGTCGGCATTAACTGGGGAATCACTTGTGCTCCCTGTAAATAGAACAGACTCAAAACTAGTGTTTGAGTTAGCATGTACGGGTTTGTTGTGCGTATCCCTGTCAAGACTGTCAAAGATGAAAAGTATGTAAAGATTGGCTCCACCTCTAACCTACACGATCCAGCTCTCTGCATTAGAACAAATTGTGTCCTCTAATCTTAGACTCTCAGCGAAAAGAAACAGCTTTTCAACATCTACCTTTTTAATTTCATATATCCATGTACCAGTTCACACACACTGAAGTCACAGCTTATATTTGAAACAAAAACAGAAAGTAGTGAACACAACTAGCAAGTCAAGTGGCAAACATTGAGAGAAAATGTTATTCATATTTCAGGTATGATCCCTTTGCAAATTTAATTATTAGGAAATGTTTTAATTTTACACCTATGGTTAGCTTTGTTCTTGGTCTTTTATAGCTTGACATCTGATCATTAGGCTTGGGTAACCGATGAATAACTCACTCCTCACCGTCTATTTCATAGAATAAGAAAAGCAAACAAGGAAGCCATTCAGCCCATCATGTCTGTGCTATACAGGAATGATTCACCTAGAGCTGCTATCCACCAATTCCCTGTGTCTCTGTCTATTTTTCCTGTTCAGATAATGATCCAATTTTTAGGATGCTACAATTGAATTTGCCTCCATTGCACTCTCAAACTTTTGGAAAAACGCATGATGACAGCTTTCTTACTGCTTCCATCTATTCATAAAGCAGCATCCCACACTAACTCACACATCATGAGATCAGTCAATTATAGCTTGTATATTAATCCAGTGGGGAGATGGAGCAAATATGCTATTAGCATGGTGTCCCCAAAAGGGGGAACTCCCATGAACTATATATTTCTAATTATTCCTTTCTCTCTTCTTGACAGCATCAGACAAGTACTTTAATATCAGGTTATTTGCCTAATTGTACAATACTTTTATGATATAAGTAAATACCAGCTATTAGCCAATTATTGGTAGAAGTAAATTACATAGCAAGATTACTCTAAGTAAAGGCTGAGTTATTATTTCAAGTTTTGGAGTACTTAGATGCTCAAAAATGGGTGAATGCAAAATTTGCTGAGATATCGGTCCCCTTGACTTTGTATTTTTAAAGCAGGACATAAATAAAACATTCCCATCTTGAGCCCCTAACCTGTGCTGTTACCCAGTCTCAGCCAGGTGTCAGTTGGATCATCATGTTTGACATTCTGGCTTACGTGGGAGGAAACCAACCTATGAAGGGAAAAATATCACTACTCAGTGATGTCTCAGTGGTAGGTTCTTATGTGTTGATGCTGGACCTGGTGTTCCTCACAATCAAATACAAATAGTTCTGCTGTAACGTGTATTCCAGCGACGCATATTGGCTATAACGCAACTGATGAATAGGTGAAAGCTATTTCTAAAATGCGAACTTCTGTTGGCTATAATGTGATTCCATCGGTGTGCGGAGGAGTACGCATCGGCATCGCGTGATCATTTCACAGGTTTTTTCCTGAGCATGCGCAATGTTAGCGCCGAAAGAGTCTTCGTGACGGCATCACGTGATCATTTCGCAGACTTTGTCATGAAGCGCTTTCTGTGAGAGGTACAGTATTCTGTGATTTTTGGGTTTTTTTTGCAAATTCTGCCTTGTTACCCACAAAAATGCGAGGACAAAGTGACAAGAATGTTAGCATTTTAGAAGAGCTTTACCATCAAGGATGCAATTGATATTATCGCGGAGACCTGATGTCAGTAAGGATTGCTTGTGTGCAGTTTGGCAGAAGCTTCTCCCAGATTTTTTCAAGATTTTAAAGGCTTTGGTCCGTCAGAGGAGCCCCAAGAATCAAAGAACATTGTGTTGATCTTGCAAAACAAATTAGATTTGAACAAGTGGAGAGTGAGGATGTTGAAGAGCTGCTTGAGTCCCATAGTCTACAGCTGATCTACAACAACCTGTTGCTGAGGGGCAAGTGGATGCTGGAGATGATGAAGATGAAGTCCAGGATGCAGCACCACAAGAGCTTCCACTTCTGTTTTGTCTTCTGTCTTGAGGGAAGTTGAGAAGCAGTTGCAGCTCTTAGAGGACAATGATTACAATGCAGAACACAGCAGGGTAGCAGTTCGTGGAATAAGATCTTACTTGGCACCCTATGAACAG